GTACTTTCACCATGGCCGGATGTTAGCCAGCACATTTCTACTTTACTATGTAGATCATATTTTACACAAAAGCAAAACACCGAGTACGAGGTCATTATTTTCTCGCAAATGGACTACGACATGGTCACAATTAATATTACGGTTTCAGTGCAATCTATAATATATCCTGGGAACTTTTCCACTCAGATATTGTTTTCTGTAATTAACAATTAGTGGAAAAGTACTTCAAAATGAAGGCAGAAGGGAGAGCAGATGCAATGCTTCCACTCCGTCTATCACACCTGTGTTTGCAGGCACCTGCCTACTGTTCGCGGGTGTGGGTCTGGTGACCCACCTTCCTGTATTCCATCGACATCATCTTAGCACAAAGCACTACTGAAATAAAGCTCAGTAGACCTATTGTGGTTATAAAGACTAAGATGCTTGAATTTGACTCAATTTCTGACGTAGTGTGGTATCTTGTGCAACCGTTCGCGTTTATTACCTGTTGGGCGGTGAATGAGCGAGCCTAGTTAGCATTGCAATTTCACATTGTAATACCGACAATATTGAACGTTGCTTAGTAGAAGATAACCGGGAAAACCTTGCAGGTTTAGAGTGTGGATTCGGAAGACAAACAAGGCAGTAAGGTATATTTGACATTTTTTATGTTAGCGATTTGAGAACACGGTCTGATAGTTAGATTCTAGATCCCGCGTTTTTTTGAGGCTGCAGTGTTTGCATTTATTTATGTAAATTGCGGTTAGTAAACTTGGCGATTGTTGAATTGATAAGCTATTAATTAATTATAAAACAAAATAAGTGATTGCAAATATTTTACGAGTTTTACAAAAAAAGGAACCCATTAAGACAAACTGCGCTTTGCATGCCCTAGTAACCACGCCAAGATGAATGTCAGTCAGCAGTCACTCCAAATGGTGGTAAAAAAAGCCGCCGCTGAGTGGGTGGGCAGCTGCCTTGGCTGTGCGAGCCGCGGCGTGTGCTCTCAACGTGCGCCGCGTTGCTGACTCATCTGCCTCAATCGATCGATGGAGCGATGGGAACATCTCTTCTGCACTCGTTGCCCATTGGTTGACGTCTGGTTGGGCACACGCTCACGCACTCCACTTCAGTTGATCCCAGTCCATCATTAGGAGAGTCACCAGGCGCTGCATTACTGCCCTAAGTGGGTCTAAAAACCAATCCAAAAGAAAGGCTTTTCACATCTACTTTGTGCGGATTATTAATTTCTACGTTTGGCAGAGGGAAGGTCCTACACCTCAATTGTGCATGAAGATGAGAACGTGCAACAGGGGAGTCAGTGAAGCTACGCAATCTCAGTCCCTTTATTGCGATTGGATTACTTCTCTTCTGAAGTTGCCTCACATGGCGTTACCAAATTGTGCCAATGGATGATACGGCCCTGCCGCCTCAGTGAATAAATGGGACCTCAACAGGTACGTAATATCCACTCTATTATGCCTTATTTCAGTGCCTAGAGCAGTCGATGCAATTTGCAATGAATAAAATAAATTTAGCGGACTTCCAATTGTACAAAGTAGGAATCATAAACGTGAATTTAATTTGTACCGCCTACGAGTGTCATGAAAGCGTAAATATTTAATAGGAAAAAAAGAGAAAGGGTTAACGTAACTCTCTTCGGTTAATGTGTTAAAAGATTAGGGAAAGGCAGGTCACATGAGAGTTGATACCAAAGTCAAAAAAGACAAAAAGCAAACATGCAGAAATCTTGTGAATTTTAGGCAAAACCGATTAAGGTTCTACAATGCCTAAAAAGGGCATGCAGATGAAAGAAAATGTGGTTTGTTGTTGATGGAATCTAAGGAGTTATTTGAATGGCTAGCGCCACTTCAGATTTCTGGTTTTACCATCGATAATTTTAGTTGGTGGATGAGTGGTATTGAAGTATTTTTTAATGGAATCCGCCGTAATAGGATAGGCGGTAAAAATATTTCAAATTTGTCGTACTACAATGTCCAGTTATGCTTTGTAGATGAGAGATAATGCCATTTGCTTTTAGTGCTATTTCAGATTTCTCTATAAAAGGAAAATAGTAATGTGTAATGGAGCGGACATGCCGTAGTCATTGAATGAAATCTCAGGATGAATCTACACTCGTCCATTTTTAGCCAAAGAATTGTAGAGGTAAGAGATGCGATCGACAGATTTGATCTCACTATAATTCAACCTACAGACAAAATGCACTCGTTCCTATTCTACCGAACAGAAAGAGAACGTGAGATTTGCGCCTAACTTGACTCGATACGATACATGTTTTCCACTCTGGAGTATCCCAGGCATAACTATCCGGGCTCTATCTATCTTGTAGACAAGTGGAAGAAGTGTCGCTTCAGTTGTTAACAGCTTTTCTTCGATTTAAGGGAATCAAGTAGTTGAAGGGGGGTTGTCG